CCAGACACACCAACTCTTTTCTGCCCACCACCATGCCCTCAAGGATGGGGTGGGCTGGACCAAATGTCTGGAAGGGAGGTTGGGCTGGAGAAAGGGGCCCTGAATGGAGCGGGCCTGGATTCTTGGCCTCCTGTTCTGTTATATTTCAGTTTTGGTTCCAACATGAGAGAGTTCCTCCTGCTGGAATATGCCTCGGGGCTGTTTGCTCATCACAGGTAGGAAGGCCCGAGGGCATGGGGTACACTGAGGTGCTCATCTAGTGGGCCTGGGACTGTTCTCCTGTCTGGTCCCCTGAGGGCTACAGAGAGGGTCAGGAAAGAGAAGGCTTAGGTCCCAGTCCCCAGAGCTACTGGGCAGCGCTGGGCTCACCTGGCCTTCACATCTGTTCTCCTGGGAACTTTGCAGCCTTTGGCAGCTGGGGGTAGATTACTTTGACCACTGCCCTGAGCTGGGCCGTGTTTCCTTGGAGCTGCACCTTGAGCGGATCCCTCTCAACACCGAGCAGAAAGCCCTCAAGGTGCTTCGGATTTGTGAGCAGCGCCAGATGACTGAACAAGGTGGGTCGGTTCTGCTCCCAGCCACCCCTTGGGGTATTGGGACATTGGGGCATTTCGGCTGAGCTCCACCACGATGGAGAGAGGGGCTAAGACACAAGACTATTACTGCTGGGCCTGGTGGCACATGCCTATAATCCCAGCACTCAGGAGGCTGAGACAGGTGGATTGTCATGAGTTCGAGGCCAGCCTGGGCTACACAGTGAGTTCAAGTTCAGCCTGAACTGCACAGTGAGACCCTGTCTCAAAAAAACCCCCCAAAAACCCGAGCAGTTTGCCTTTTATTAATTTATTTATTTTGGTACTGGGGATTGAACTTAGGACCTTCTGCTTTCGAGGCGGGTGGCAGAACCACTGAGCTAAATCCCCCGGCCCCTTTCATTTATTTGTTTGTTTATTTATTTATTTGGTACTGGGGATTGAACTCAGGACCTTCTGCTTTCAAGGCAGGTGGCAGAACCACTGAGCTAAATCCCTGGCCACTTTGCCTTTTAGAGAAGTCCCTGACCCACTTCTTGTCACATTTTCTTTACAAGCTCAGGCTGGAGTCTGTGCTGAGGCTTCTATACAGATGGTGTCTTGCTGCTAGCAAAGTCTGGGCAGGATGGGAAGGGGCGCAGGCAGTGGCTCATGGCTCAGCAGGAGCACAGGGAGGGGATGAATGTACACAACTCTGTTCCCATGACGACCTATCTGCTCCTCCCAGAGGCACTCACACATCTGGCCATCTCAGAAAACGCCTTTTAGATATGGGAGAGTAATGGAGGAGGCTAGTGTGTGGGGAGAAAGCAAGCACACCCCCATAAAGCTGATAGTGTGTTGTGAGTGGCCCTGGTTATATTGTTACCAGGGCTGGGGATGTAGTTCAGTGGTACATCGCCTGCCTGGCAAGTGTGAGATCCTGAGTTTGATCCCTGGTACCTCCCCCCAAAAAACACCCCAAAAGTTATATTGTTAGCAGAGAGAAGATACTGTTAGCAAACCCAAAAGCTTCTAGTTCTGCTGGCCTGCCTGTGCTTGGGGCTGTGGAGTTGTAGTGAAGCTGTGGGAAAGCTGTGCCTGTCACCACAGCACTCCTGAAGGCGGGGGTGACTGGTTGAGACCCTTTGCCTTCTGTCTCGCCTGTGAAGTCCGCAGCATCTGTAAGATCTTGGCCATGAAGGCTGTCCGCAACAATCGCCTGGGTTCCGCCCTCTCTTGGAGCATCCGTGCCAAAGATGCTGCCTTTGCCACACTGGTCTCAGACAGGTGAGTGCGGCTGGCGCTGGCTCTGGGGGTTGCATGGGACATTGGACGTCGAGGAGTGGGGCTGGGATGGCTGTTCTGATCTCATCTGGGCCGGGCCTGCAGGTTCCTCAGGGATTACTGCGAGCGAGGCTGTTTCTCTGACTTGGATCTCATTGACAACCTGGGGCCAGCCATGATGCTTAGTGATCGGTTGACATTCCTGGGTGAGTCAGCTCTGTCCCTTGGGGAACTGTGGACCATTGTAGAGATTGGAGGACTTGTTCTAGATTGGTGCATTTCCTTCCTGGTAACGCCCAAACCACATAGGGATCCTGTGTACCAGACTGCAGGTTTTTGTTTTTGAGACAGGATCACGCTCTGTAATTCAGGCTGGCCTTGATTTCACTATGTTGTCCAGGCTGGCCTCGAATTCACGGCAATCCTCCTGCCTCAGCCTCCCAAGTGCTGGGATTACAATCCTGTCCAGCACATCCAGCTCAGACTGAAGATTTTGATAATGTTTTATTTTCCAGTAATTTCAAGCTTGGAGAAAACTTACGAAAGTAGCATATAGTATAAGGAACTCCTAAATACACTTTTCATAGATTCACCAGTAATTTTTGACTCATTTATTCTCTGTTGACCCATCAGTGTTTTGGGGAATCGTTTGAGAGTAAGTTAAGAGATATTGTTCGTCTAAAGGCCTCAGTTTGTATTTCACTCTATAAATGTAAGTTACCAAAAGCAAGAGATCATCACTGGAACGGTGTGTGGTGCAGGCCTATAATCCCGGCACTTCAGAGGCTGAGGCAGGATTGCTGGGAGTTCAAGGCCAGCCTGAAGTACAGAGCAACACCCTGTTTCAACCCTCAACTTCCCTCCATAAAAAAGATCCATCATTGATATAACACTCTCATACACACTCTGGGTTGTCACGGTAATGTCCTTAACTTGTCCAGGGTAACAAATTTAGCTGCCGTCTCTTTAGTGTCTTTGTGTTGTGTGGGGTTTTTTTTCCCCTTAGGTGCGGTGCTAGGATTGAACCTAAGGTGTCACACCCTAGGTTAGGTAAAGCTATTAAACGGGTACTCTACACTTAGCTTTATCCCCACTTTTTTATGTCCTGGATGCTAAACCTAGGGCCTTCACACTGAGCTACATCCTCAGTCCCTTTTTTTTTTAGGTACCAGGGATTGAACTTGGGATCTTGCACTTGGGACCTTGAGGCAGGTGGTGGAACCACTGAGCTAACTCCCCAGCCCCAGCCCCTTTATTTTTTTTGAGGCAAGGTCTTGTTAAGTCTCTTTAAGTAGCCCAACCAGGGCTCAAATTTTCCATCCTCCTGCCACAGCCTTCCAGAATGCTGGGATTACTGGCCTTTGCACCATGTCTGATTTCCAGCCCTTTTTGTATTTTTTTATTTTGAGAGAGGGTCTTGCCAAGTTGGCCAGGCTGGGCTTGAACTCAGGATCCTCTTGCCTTATCTTCCAGAGTGCTGTGCCTAAAGGCATGTGCCACATGCCTGTTCCCTCTCTTTTTCAGGGCTGGGGTGACCTCTCTAGGTGTCACTGAGCGGCCACATTTAGGGGGATGCAAGGTGAAATCGTGCTCCTCCTCCCAACAGGAAAGTACCGCGAGTTCCACCGACTGTATGGGGAGAAGCGCTTCAGTGAAGCCTCGTCTCTTCTGCTGTCCCTGATGACTTCTCAGATTGCACCCCGCTCTTTCTGGATGACTCTGCTCACAGATGCCCTCCCACTTTTGGAACAGAAACAGGTAAGGCTTGAGTCTATAGGAATTTTGTCTGCCTTTGTAGCTCTCGAGAGCTTGGTTTGTGTCTATTACAGACAGACATGAATTTTCAAGTAGTCCTGTGTGAGCACACGTCTTTCTGCATTGTACCTTTGTTGCAAGTCCAGTTCACACCAGAGAAAGGGAAATGCCACACCCTGTCCACTGGAAGTACTCAGCCTAGGGCCTAAACGGAGGGCTGGACTGAGACTAGGAAGCTCCCCCACCCTCCTGGGGCTCCATACCCAGAGCCCCTGTCCCATGAACACGGGGTGAAGTCCTCTGAACTCAGGCCATGCCTGTACCAGCAGACCTTGCAACCTCTCTCCCCCAGGTGATCTTTTCAGCAGAACAGACATATGAGCTGATGCGATGCTTGGAGGACTTAACCTCGAGGAGGCTGGAGTGTGAAGAGCCCAATGCCCAGAAACTCCAGGTCATTTCAGCTTTCTGGTTGATGGTTCCATGGTGAAGGTGGGAAAAGGCTCCCTGTCTCGGGCTTTCTTTTTGGACCTGTGCTCCTGAAACACTTGACTGGCCCCATAGGAACTCATACCTCTCAGTTACTGCTTCCGTGTAACTATGCCATGCCAACTTTTAGAAGGAAATGGGTGATTCTAGTCTTCTGGTCTCCATAGTTCTCCTTTCTGTTGATTGGTTGCAGTGGGCCTTTGCATACGCTTACACTGAGAATGGAAGTGTTAAATGCCTTCTACCTTGTGGGGAGCACTCCTGCTGTTCCTCATACCAGCTCTCTACTTTTTAGGATGACGACATAGAGACCACCAAGGTGGAGATGCTGAGACTTGCTCTTGCCAGGAATCTTGCTCGGGCAATTATAAGAGAAGGCTCACTGGAAGGTTCCTGAGGTCAGCCCAGAGCTGTAGCAGTGGTAACTTTGTATGGCAGTATATAATAGCTTTTTAAAATAAATGTTCTCTTTGGCAAATAGAGTTCAGCCAAGGAGTTTTTATCCATGTTTACTCTGAATCTAAGCAAAAATGAAGAAAATGTTTTATGTTTTGTGAGATGGATCCTGCTATGTTGCCCAAGCTGGCCCTCTCAGGTTCAAAGGATCCTCCTGCTTCAGCCTCCCGAGTAGTTAGGACTACTACCATGGAACATTGTGCCTGACTTGTATTCTTTGATAAGAACTGTCTTCCCTGCTTTCCTAGAGAACCCACCCCAAGGTAGGAATGGTGAGTGTGAGTGTAGAGTCCTGCTTATAACTGGAAACTTAAACAAAAGGGAGTCCTTGGTGGTTTACTTAGGCTTGAGAGCTTAAGTGTTGCCGATGATTTGAGGTGAAACCATCTTTTTGATTGTCCTAAAAGCCTTCAGAGATCTGTACTTTCTACCCACCCACCTGGAATTCACAGGAGGCACTTTCCCCTTGGGCCAAATGTTGTCTATTATAAGGATTCCAGCTAGGTTAAAAATAGTTTTATTTAACATGCAGCAAAACAAGGGCAGCAGAGTCAGTATATCTAGTACAGTTGTTTGTCACAAGCAGTGACCTCAATAGTAGGAGTAACACTGATAACTAATTTTGATGTCTAAAGCTTATTAAGGTACAGCTTTTCACACAGTAATCCCATAGACATTCCCAGGGCTGCATTCGCTGTTCTCTAGAAAGCTCTTGGATTTATTCCTTTAGTGAGAACTATTCACTTTTGACCTGTCTTGATGAAGCAGTGAAACCTGCTTACTAAAGGTGGTGAGGGAGAGGAGGGTGAGATGACCTCTAGATTTACAGCAAGGAAACCTGGCAAGGGCAGGAGCCATGGCCCTTCCCCAGCATCTGTGGCAGCTGTTAATTTTGTTTCCTGTTGCCTTGTGGTTCAGTATGCCTTGCCCAGGAGCAGCTGGGCCGAGCACTGTTATAGCCTTGGTTCAAGTGTAGCCCCTCCCTCGTCACCTCCAGGCCAACATCTTGCTGACAGTGCCCCCTCTGTAGTTGGGGGACAGTTGGGATTTCTGTGTAGCACAAAAGGACATAATTTCAGTGCAACATACTTGATCCTGAGGCCTCCTAGGCCCAACCAGAGGTGCCATACACCATGCACATCTGGCAGGAAGGAGAGGCCAAAGCAGGACAGAGGGTGGTGGGAGTGGTCCTTCCTCTCAGAGATGCTAGGGGAAGGAAAGCAGTTTACATCATGCTGAGCAGGAGGTAGTGAGTAGGATGGCCTGTCTATACACAGGAGGTGCACTTTTCCTAAATAGCTCCCAGCCCTTCCTTTTGAAGGGCAGAAACTGGTTCTCTTCATCTTCTTTCCTATCCCTACTTGTCTGTCATGAAGCCAGGCTGTTTCTAATTGGCTGAATTCCATGTCCTGCTGATATGTCTACAAGATGCAGCCCATCACTGCCAAGAGGGACAAGTGCAGAACTCATTTGGTGGCCATTCAGGATGCTGCTGCCCACAGAAAGCAGGTGGATTCCAGAGGACTCCAACCCCTCACTGTGGCCCCATGGCTTTGCCCAGCTCAATGGTGGTGGCAGCAGAGCCTGCCAGTAGGGGAAGCCCAGGCTGGCAACAGGGGCTGCAGCCTCAAACCATGACCCCTTTCTTGCAGGGACCCAAGACCTCTTTAGAATCCTCCCCCAGGCACCAGAGATCCCGATACAGGGGAAAACTTACTCCAGGCCTGGGGTCTACTGTCCCAGTACCGCAGTATAGATGAGCTATTTATTCCCCACCCCTGACAGTATATGGCCGCTTCAAGTCACACAGGTAGATAAAAACAAGTCCTTTTAGGGGCCCAAGGAGAGAGATTATCACAGCAGCAGGATAGCTTCCAGCAGAAGTCCCCAGGGCCCCATGTCCATATCAAAGCTACAAATGCGCTGTCAGGATGCTGAGACTGATTGGACTGGAGCTCTCTCCATTTCGGGCCAGCCTGCCTGGCTTAAAAGTGGAGATCACTGCGTCCTTTGGGGTCATAGGTTCCCCCACTGCTCCACAGGAGGGAAATGGTCCACCTCGCCCACCTCTGTGCTCAGCTGCTCCCCAAGAGCAAAGGTCAGCTTATACCGGAGACGCACCTTCTCCTGTGACAGAAGGCAGCAGGTGAGCCAGATTCAGTCCATGTGGCCCCTTCCTTGCTGTCCTCATGGCCCTGTGAATCCCTATTCCCACCACCCACCCACTCACCTGCACCTGGGCACCTAACTTGGGGCACCAAAGGGAGAGGTAATGCTGCAGCTGCAGGCTGGAGAGGTCCCTGCTAGGCTTAGGGGAGGAGTCCTAATTTGGGGCAGCAGAGACCCAGACTCTCCCCTGCTCACCTTCATTGGGTTGGCCAGCAGCATGACCTGGGTGATGGCTGCAGGTGGCTGGATGGGACTAAATGGAGAGAGTTCTGTCCCAGAGGGTGGCTGCAGCTTCACTTTCATTGTCTAAAGATTAAGAGAAAAGAGTCTTTGAAGAGAGCTGGTTACAGTGGATGCACACATACTGCCATCTGCTGGCCTCCAAAAGGCCCTCCATGCACTGGGTTCAAGATGAATGCAATTTTGGCCTCTGGAGGCCCAGGACGCTGGCACTACCTTGGGCACTGCAGCCTGTAGCACAATGCTCTTCACTGGCAAAGGAGCTGTGTTCAGCATGGACACCACCACCACCAGCACATCGGGTCGTCCTGGTGGACACTCCTTGGCAAAGTGGAAGAGGATGCGGAAGCCATTTTTGTCATAGGCTGTCACAGGAAGGGCACTGCCTGCAAGAAGGGCCATGAATGTGACGATAAAGTGCTGTGCCAGACACCCCAGACCCCTGGCAGTATGCACTGTAGCTAAGTAGGGACAAGGTGGAGGACAGTGTGGCCATAATCACAGTGCTCTCAATGGAGTTGGGCAAAGGACCTCTGATGGGGTCCTGAGGGCACACACACCTGCAACAAGCACAGGCTGAGACAGCAGGGCAGTGGACACCCCGGGGACCTCTACACAGAGCACCTGTACCCACCCACTGTACACCCTCCAGTGCTACGGCTGCTGGGCCCACTTCCATTGCCAGCTCCAACACCTACTAGGCTTGATGGATTCCAGGGGCACGTGGACACTGGCCAGGGAGAGCTCAGGCCCCTTCATGGGGCTTGCCTGGGACTGGAAGGCCGGTGACTGGAAGAGAGGGCTGCCGGGTCCCGTGGAGAAGGGCAGGAGAGGCCTGGCTGGAACGGAGGTGGGAAGCAGGGGGGAGGCGGTGGCCCCAGGGGAAAAGCAAGAGGAGACAGGTTTCACTAAGCCTGAGGTCCTGGGAGGCAGGAAGGATAGAGGGCAAGTCAGCACAAGCCATGCTGAGCCAACCCCTCACTAGGGGCCCAGCCAGGGACGGCTCTTAGCCACCCCACAGCCCCAGCTTCCAGCTGGACAGATGGAACCAAAAAGGCTTCCCCAGTCCTGAGGCTATGACCCTCCGCACCACCTGCCCCCTCTTCCCCTACTCATTACACTTTGGCCTCTTCTAGAAGCTGATCAAGGGCATCCAGGTGGTTCAAGGTGCTGTCGCCTAGTGCTGAGTTGTGGGACTCAGCAGCTGCATGTTCAGGCTTTGGGGCCAAAGCTGGGGCAAGTCCGGAGGTGAACATGAAGGAGACTGCGCTGGGGCCAGGTGTGCTGGCTGGGACCACAGGAGCTGGGAAGCGAGATGGCAGTGGAGCATGGGACGTGCTTGATGGGAGATCTGAAGGCGGGAGCAGGGGCCTCTCCAAGGAGCAGGTAGCAGGCCCCAGCCTGGGGCTGAAGAAGTCCACACTGGACTGTTCACCCTGCACAGGGAAGAGTAGTGAGCAGAGGGCTGTTGCCAATGGCAGGGACACAGCTCATCATCCCCTGGAGGTTTCCCTAGGGGCACTGGAGGCCTGTTGGGGACTAGCTGCCTCCAAGGACAGGGCCAGAAAAAGGCTCTTGGGAGCAACATGCTCCCAGCTGCACTGGACAGTGCTCTGGAGGGGAAACACAGCCAAGCACCAGTCAGTAAAGAGAAGACGCTGTGAGTGAAGGTCCTAGGGCCAACACTTTACCTTTGCACCACACTGGACTGTGCCCATACCTGGAACAGGTGCCACTGGCTATTTCCAGCTGACTCTTTGGGAAGAGCAGTGGGGGCTGGGTCAGAGAGTCCTGAGAATACAGAAGAAAACTCAGAGGCTGAGCCCCAGCTCTCCAAAGCAAGGGACACAGGACAAGAGACATCAGTGTAACAGGTGGGGGAGTATTTTCCTAGCAGCTGCTAGAGGGGAAAGGACCCCCCTTTCAATCTTTTTTTTTTTTGGTACAGGAGATCGAACTCAGGTCCTTGCGCTCCCCCTTCCAATCTTAACAGGTTAGGATGAGGAGTTTCCCAGGGAAGGTGAGATACCATACCCACCCTGGAGTCCATAGGGAAGATGGCCCTGGTGGTCTCTAGGGACATGAACTTAGCTGATAAGCACACTAGAGACCCCTCAGACTTCCTGATTCACAGCCTTTCCTCCTTAGGCCACTCCAGGAGAAGCCCCGTGTAGCGGCCCTCTAGGACATACCTAAGCAGAGCAGCTCCTCGTCCAGCAAGGAGAGGGTGTTGCTTGTGCTGCTGGGCCCAGGAGGAGCCTCGGCCTGGCTGGAAGAGCGGCTGCATGGAGGGCCCGAGGTCTGGGGAGGTGGAGGGAGGACAGGGATGCCTGAGGAGGATGGGCTGGGCTCTGAGGCCAACACCAGGGGTGAACTGTTGGGTGTCTCCAATTCAGCAAGGTCGATGAGAGTGCCTTGATTACTGGAATAGCTGTTTCCTGGATGGGCGAACAGGAGGGGAACAAGAAGAATCAGGGGCCAGTCCGGTGGCTCAGCAGGAGACAGGACCTTGGGCACAGTTGCCAGGGCTGTAGCCTCTGGCCCAATTCAATGGCATTTCTTCTAGGACCCTGAAAAGCAGGCCAGAGAAGGCAGGCAGGGAAATCGGCATCTGTGTTTTCCGGCCTGGAGAAGCTGGAGGACCCTTAGGAGTGGCTTAACTGAGCTGTCCTGTGGTCAACCTGCACCTGGTGGGTTGTCTGGAGGGTCCCAGAACCGGGAGCCAGAACATTTTACCTTCAGAGTCGGGCACGGCTGACGTGGTCTCCTCACTGTTGATGACCTGCCCTTCAATAATTGCTTTATAAGAGTTGATGACCCGGGAGAGGTTGTCACTGGCCTGCAGGATGTCCCCTAGAGCAGGAGAGATTCCCCATTCCTAGCTGTGACAACACAGTATCAAATTCCTGACTCATGCACATCCACCACTCCTTCCTTTTCACTCACCCAAACTATTGTCATTGTCCTCTGTCTCGCTGGCTAGTTTAAATAATGCTCGTCTCTTGTTCTCACACCGATCGGACAGTTCCTGAGAGACTCAGACATGAAAATCAAAAGAGGCCCTCAAATCCTCTGATTCAGCAGTCATGCTCACAAGGTGGCAGGACTCCCTGAAGTACCACAGTTACTAGCAGAGCTGGGAGCAGAGAACACAGCCTCCTCTAGCCTCCACCAGACTGTGGTACCAACCTGTCTGTGTTGACAGTCACTTCGCTCGGATAGCAGAGAGGAAGAAAGTCCCCCCATCCCGGACCAGGGATCGAACTTAGAACCTTGTGTTTGCCAGGTAGGCACAGCGTCACTGAGCCACACCTCTGGGCCTCCTCCTTTTTCTTTTGGACCCAGGGTCTTGTTATGCAGTTCAGGCTGGCCTTGAACTCACTATGTAGCCTAGGCTGGCCTCCAACTTGCAGCAGTCCTCTTGCCTCAGCCTCCCAAGTGCTGGGAAAGCACTTTCCTGCCTCCCAGGCTGACACGTGCCTCAGAACTCAAGGTATCTTACCCAGTCATAGCCTGGGCCTCAACACTAACATTACGGCACCAGGGGCAGCCCGTCTGTCCACTCGTCCCCAAGGCAGTAAAGAAAGCATCGAGCAGGGGTGAGCACTGAGGGTGATGTCTGAGGCACAGCAAGGGTCCCCATGGGGCATGTCTGCTGATTTCATGTATAATGGGGATGCTGCCTCCCGATTCCCTGCTGCCACACAGATAAACAAGCTCACAAAGAGCAAGCGTGTTGGCAGGCAGCACTGTGGGCAGCTCTCGGCTGATGCCACCTACCTTCATGAGCTCTTTGTCTGCCTCTGACGAGTGCTCTTGGCTATAGTGAAGCAGCATCTCGTGGAGCAGCTTCACGTTGTTGTTGACCTCCTCCAAGGTGTGCATGCGCTTGGTCACCTTCTGGATGCGTGCCTCATCCTGTCTCAGCCAAGAGGGTCCAGGGGAAAGCAAGCTCACCTAGTGGTTTCCACACCCACTGCGGGAGGCTAACCGCTTGCCCAGTGTGAGAGCAGAGGCGAAGCCAGAACTCTGCTCAGTACAGGCTTCTTGGGACCACATGCCTCAGACACAACCCACATTGTTTTTTTTGGGTTTTTTGGTACTGGGGATCGAACTCGGATCCTTCCGCTTGCAAGGCAGGCAGTGGAACCACTGAGCTAAATCCCCGGCCCCCAACATTGTTTTTTTTTTTTGACTGACTGCTACTCTCCCTCACTCTCACCCTCTCATTCCCCATCCTTCTTCCACTCACTCCAGGGGAGGCTGTGGCAGGGGAACAAGGCAGGCACAATACCCCAGGGCAGAGACTTCTGCTCTGTGGCTGTAAACTCCTCTGCCCCATGCCCAGAGGACCGGAGTCCACTCACTTCCTTCACCATAGACTTGATGAGCTTGTTGGCTTCCTGCAGATCATCTGGGTTTTTGCTCTTCAGCAGCTTGGCTAAAAGCTGGAAGAGAAAGATACTAAAGAGGAAGGGAAGGACAGCACCACCCCTACCCAACTTGGAGGAGGCCACAAAGAAACTGGAGCTTCCCAGTGTCAAGCAAAAAAACATTTTCCTCCTACTGTCATCCCCCCTCAGCCCAGGTCTGGGATGTACTTTACCTTGGATTTTTCCTCATCATCAAAAACAGGGTTTTTGGGACGAGCGGGTGGAGAGGGGATCAGTGTCCTATCCACAGGGATTGGTGGGTCAGACTGCACTATGCCTGAAAGGGGACACAAGCGGCAGAGTGTGCGCTCAGGCTGCAGTTGCCTTGTCCGCCCTCCTCACATCAAGGGCCACATCACTGCAATCAAGACCTGTAAGGGGAGCAGGAGACAGGGCAGGCTGCTCACAGCTCATCCCACCAAAACTCCAGCTGAGCCTTGCCCTGGCAACAAATGCCACACTTCAGGTGAAACCTCCCCTTTCCTGCTGGCCTTGGCAGCAAGAACCCTTCAAGGGCTCCCCTGAGCCTGCAGAAGGCAGACACTTACCCTGTCTCTTCAACATGTGGTAGGCATCTTTGATCTTTGCTTCTTCAGGCAGGGCCACTGTCCAGCTGTAAAGCAGCTCAATGACCTTGGTCTTCACTTTGTCAGATACCCTGTCCCCCAGGTACTAGGAGGCAAAAGGAAATGGGTGAACTTAGTAGTGCAGTTTAGAGGCAATGACAGGGTTATTACTGTCCCAAGCCTACTCGAACCCAGCAGGGGTTAACGTGTGACAGAGGAGGTGAAGGGAGGGAGGCACTTCTCTAGGACATAGTCTGTGGTTAGGCTGGGCCAGGAGCTCATTACCACACCTCCACACACAAGCTCCCTGAAACCAACTGCAGTTTATCCTGAAAACTCCATGAGGATGCCGTGAGCGGGAAAACTGTTCCCTCTCCTTTGAGTGGGTGCCCAGGGATACACGACAGATGACCAGCTGAGTGACCAAGCAGTGAGGGCAGACAGCTCCTTAGACTCAGGGAAGATGGGCCCAAACATCCACAGCTCAGAATCCTCGAGGCCCAGGCCCTCTCCCTGGGTACACACACAGCTGCCGCCTCTGCTGGACCTACTCAGTCATCTCTGCCTCCAGGGCCCGACTCTCCAGGACAGAGTCAGCCCCATGGAAATGCTAGGTGGGCACAGAAAGCTAATGAAATGGGAGACAGGAAGGGAGGGAAGTGCCACTGACTGACCTTTGGAGAGACGACTTTGATTAACTCATTCAGAAACCGGAACTTCCCCACTTCGTTATGAAATCTCCTCCCACAGTTCTTCATGGCGGCCTCCAGGACCTGCAGCCACACAGAGAGGGGCTCAGTGTGTGACTGGCATCAGCAAGAATGCTGGCACCAGAAATACTCGGAGGTGAAGGAGTCCATCCTGAGAAGTGGTACAGCACAGCTAAGTCACAGGGTCACTTGCCATCCACGCCTCGAATGGCACAGCTCTGGGGCCACAGTAAGAAATGCTGAGACCCAGACACCAAGACCCAAAGGTGCCTTCCTTAAAGATACTGTCCTCCTGTTTTACAGATGCGGAATACTGAGGTCCAGAGTCCTTTCCATATGCTGACCAACATTTGGGGGGGCGGGGAGAATCTTTAAATTCTCTTATCTCCAATTTAAATGACAGGACATCAAAGACCTTCTGCCAAACTTTGGGCTTGTGTCCTGCGAGCCACAAGACCAAATGCGTGTGTGAGGGGGCCCACTGCCTCTGAGGGTGAAGCCCTACCGTCAGGGCCTGCACCGCCTCCCATTCCTGTGGAGACTGGATCTTGTGGGCCAGCAGTCGGACAGCAATCTGGGGGCTGGGGGATAGGAAACCACAGTCAGTACACTGATGTGGGGGCCAGCATTCCTTGGCCAATTTTTGGCTTTTCCAGTCAGCTTTCTCACCTGCCCCTAACAATGCTGAGACTCACCCTTCAAGCTCTTTGTTGATCTGATCACAAAAGCCAATTATGTATTCCCAGTCTTCCTGGCGGTTGGAAGGATTGGTAGCTTTATCTTGGGACAGAATGAAGAGGAGGACAATTATTATGAAGACCAACAGAATGTTTTCTTCAGAATTTTTAGGCACCAGAAGTTTGCTCTTGAATTTTTTGTCTTATAGAGAAGTGTCACTAGTTTAATCAGAGCTGTGTGTGGCAGCACAAGCCTGTAGTCTCAGCACTCAGAAGGCTGAGGTACGATCACCACGAGTTCAAGGCCAGCCTAGACTACACACCAAAACCCTGTCTCAAAAAACTGAAAAAAAAAAGTTTAAGCAACAAGTCTTGATTTCTGACATTTTGGAAGTTACAAATGGATTCTGTTCTCAAAATAAAAATACAAATTACTAAAATAGTCACAAATAAATGCCTTTACAAAATACACATCTGTAACAATACTCAACATAAAAATGAGCTAAGTACACTTGGAAAATGACTTTTCTGGGTTTTTTTCCCCCTCAGTACTGGGCATTTGAATTCAAGGCTTTCACATTGAACCACATACCCAGCGTAGTTTTTTTTGGTTTTTTTTTTTAGGGAGGGTCTTGCTACATTGTTCAGCAACAGTCTGCCTCCGCGTCCCAGAGGGCTGGGATTTTAGGCATCTGCCACCACAGATTCCTTTTGTTCTTTTTTGGTACTGGGGATCGAACTCAGGTCCTTGTGCTTTCGAGGCAGGCGCCGGAACCACTGAGCTAAATCCCTGGCCCCAACAGTGTATTTTCTATAGATCCTTCAAGATTTTTTAAGACCCCATCTTCCTTAATACTTTGAAGGTTTTTAAAGTTGCACACAGTAACACTCATGACTGTCAAGCCTACAGCACTTACTGAAGCCCCTGTCAGGCACCAGCCACCCTGTGATCTATCCCTAGGGCCACAAAAACAGAATCTTGGTGCCTTCAGGTTTAAATGGTTTTTCACAACCACAAAGAAAAACACTGGTGAGGTCTCAGAGTCACTGAGGGTTTAAAATCCCAGAGCTAAATGCAGAGCTCAGTAATACTCAGTTTGTGCCCTCCTCACTGTTACCCCAGGAGGATGGCCCGGCTGAGGGTGGTCAAATGGGCTAGCCACTCTGATTCAGAGCCTGAGCCTGCCTCTTCCAGGAAGCTCTCTCATGCTGTTTGCTTGATTTCGGGTTTCAGGTCAGAAAACAAATGGAAAAGGGACACATCCTCTTAAAACACCTTGGCTCCTCTGAGGAAGGAGAGAGCCCTTCTGATGGGATGCTGTTAGAAGTTCTGAACACCTGTGATGGTGGGTGTGTGCTTCCTTTTTGCTTTGTGTGTGCTTGGTACAGGCAGGGGATTAACCCAGGGCCCTGCACATGCTTGGCTAGCACTGAGCTACATCTCCAGCCTGTTTCTTTTTTTTTTTCCCAGCACCAGGGATCGAACTCAGGACCTTGCACTTGGTGAGGCAGGTGTGGCACCACTGAGCTAAATCCCGGGCCCTTTTTTTTTTTTTGGTACCAGGGATTGAACTCAGGACCTTGCACTTGGTGAGGCAGGTGTGGCACCACTGAGCTAAATCCCGGGCCCTTTTTTTTTTTTTGGTACCAGGGATTGAACTCAGGACCTTGCACTTTCGAGGCAGGCAATGGAACCACTGAGCTAAATCCCCAGCCCCTCTCTCTCTTTTTTTTTTTTTTTTGAGACAGGGTCTTGCTGTATAGTACAGGCTGGCCTTGAGCTCATAGAAATCTTCCTGCCTCAGCCTGCCGAATGCTAGGACTACAGGTGTGTGCCACCACATTCAGCTCCCAGTCTTTTTATTTTGAGATGGTATTGGTAAATTGGCCACAGTGGGCTCAAACTTGTGACTGTCCCACCTCAGCCTGAGTAACTGGGACTACAGGTGTACACCATCACACTCTCCCTTCCGGGTATTTTCTCTTTTTTTTTGGTGCTGGGGATCGAACTCAGGACCTTGCGCTTTCGAGGCAGGCGTCAGCACCACTGAGCTAAATCCCTGGCCCTTTCTGGGTATTTTCTTAACTTTAAAAAATCATCAGGTGGGGCCAGGGATTTAGCTCAGTGGTGCCGCCGCCTGCTGTGCAGGCACAAGGACCCGAGTTCGATCCCTGGTACCAAAAAAAAAAAAAAAAAAAAATCATCAGGTGAACCAGTGTGGTGGTGCAAGCCTATAATACTAGCTACTCAGGAGGATGAGGCAGGAGGATTGCAAGTTTAAGACCAGCCTGGCAACTTAGTGAGACCCTGTCTCAAAATAAAAAGGGCTGGAAGTGTACTCCAGTGGCAGACTGCTTGCCTAGCACGTGTACGGATGAGACAGACAGGACACAGCCAGTGACTGAATCCATGCAGGGACTTCAGCTGCTCCACTGGGCACAGGGCTCCCAGCTCTGAGCAGAGGCTTCTCCATGTTGGGGCTGGGCCTGCCTTGCAGCATTTCTGTTCTGGCTGCAAAGAGAAGATTCTGGTAGCTACAGTTTGGATTTAGAGGAAAAGAAGGTGGCTGTTTTTCATCTTGAAAGAGAATTTGCAGGCCCTTCAAGGTGTCAAGGTTGAAGGGAAGGCTTATTTATTCAGTCAAGGGCGGCCATGTAGAAAGATGCCTGGTACTTCAGTACTGACAGCCACAGCCACCCTAGCATGGCCTTCCCGAGAAACCCCGGGGTTCTCCCACCCTTGTCTGAAGTCTCAGGTGTTAGCTTGGGTTTGTTACTAATCCTGTCCTTTGAGATGTTCCAGGTTTTCACATGACCCCAAGCAGCAGAAGATTCAGAGCCCTACCCACCACCAATGTCTTTAGCCTTCTGTGAAGTCATAAACCTCAAACCTGAAAGAACAGGAAAGATTAGCCCACTCACTTGCCCAGTTCTCAACCCGGAAGAGTGGCTTCCAACAACAGTAAAATGTGGACCCCTGGCCCTATAAACAGTGAGCTGTCACCAACTTAATCTCCCCAGGCACATTCCACTTCCTACAGCACTGCCACCTCTAAAAAATTCCTGCCTGTTTTTCACTCCTCTATCCCATTTCCTGGGACCTTCCCAGAGCTTTCTACTACAAATCTGCAGGGAGCACTGCCTGCACAAGGCACAAAAAGCCCCAGTCCCAGCTAGGTCAGGGCTACTTCCCAGCGTCAGCTACAGCTCTCTGGCAGCTCAGAAAGCACACTTGTCACCACGGGAGCTGGGAGAAGCTGCAGGAGACTCGGCTGGGTGATTCCAGCCCTCCATCTGCCCACAGCTCACCCCAATGAGGCACGTGGCCTTCCATCCACGCGACCCCGATTCTCTCACCTGACAGAGGTGACACCAGAGCCTCCCCAATGCCTTCCAGAACCCCTCTTTGGGCTCTGCTCCGACTCATGGTTTCTATCTATTTTCGGGTCTCTGGTGAAAGCCTCATTCTCTTGTTTCTGTGCCTCCAGATTTCCTACTCTTATTTTCAGCTTCATTCCATCCTCAGCCTTACTCTCTGGGGACCTCAAAATGTCACCTAGAGCCAAGAGTGCATACGTATAATCCCAGGTACTCAGGAGGCTGAAGCAGGAGAATCGAAAACTTGAGGCTAACCTGGGCAACTTAACAAACTTTTTCTCTAAAACAAAAAAAGGTTTAATGCTGGGGATTTAGCTCAGTGGTTCTGCCGCCTGCCTCGAAAGCGGAAGGACCTGAGTTCCATCCCCGGTACCAAAAAAAAAAGGTTTAAGGATGTAGCTCAGTGCTCCATGGGTTTAACTGGCAGTACTGTAACAACACACACGCACAGCAATGGAAATAGCAGCAGCACTGACAACCCCATCTCAGCATGGCTCAGACATTCCAGGGAAGCCAAGTTCCATGTAGGAATGACTTAGAAATAAGCAAATGCAATTTCGAGGGCTGGAAAGGGATCAAGGTCAACCTGCAGTACTGGGTCTTGAACCAATGAAGAAACTTAAATCATGCAGTTTCACTCAGGCACCCAGAGAAAGTAAAAAGTTTGCTGCACCTGAAAGGACTACAGAAGAGGGACTAGACACAGACTAGCCTGAGGAAGTTGTGCTCTTCTGATTGATCATGGGAGAAAGAATCGGTGCATAAAAACAAGGCAGTGTGTAATTATAGACGTCAATATGGTACAGAAACAGATGCATCACTCTTCCTTACTGACTTCCCTATTTCTATAAATGGTGGTGCTATTTAAAAGCCTGTTTTGCCTTAACTCCAGGCGCTCTGATTTGTAACCCCACTGTTAATTCCTTCCCTTTCCTGACCCATTCCTGTCAGTCCTAGAGTCCTTCCCAACACCTCTTGTTTATTTTTATTTTTTTATTTTTTTGGTACCGGGGATCGAACACGGGTCCTTGTGCTTGCGTAGCAGGCAGCGAAACCACTGAGCTAAATCCCCAGCCCCTCTTGTTTATTTTTGAGAGAAGCTCACACTATAAATCAGGCTGGCCTCAAACTAGCTGTATAGTTCATGCTGGCCTTTCAATGTCTTTTTCATCTCTCTGCTACCCCACCTCTTTTTGGGGGGGCGGGTACTGGAGATCGAACTCAGGTCCTTGTGCCTGCACAGCAGGTGGCAAAACCACTGAGCTAAATCCCCGACCCTACCCCACCTCTTTTTATACCTGATTTCAGAACTTGTTCTAACTCAGACCATGATAGAATGCATGTTATGCTTTTTTTTCTTTTTTTTTGGTACCGGGGATCGAACTCGGGTCCTTGTGCTTGCACAGCAGGCGGCGAAACCACTGAGCTAAATCCCCGGCCCAAGAATGCACGTTATGTAAAGCTCCTGTATCAATATCAATTCTTCCAATATGCCAATTTCATCAGCTACAGGAATGGGAACCTGCTAACTAGAAATTTAAGCTTCCTGGGCTGGAACTCCCAAATTCCCAGAATTTGGTCCTATATTCCCAGCTTTATCCACCCAACACACACACACATACATACATACACAAACTCCCTCTAGGACTTCGTGAGCGAACTGTGTGCCCCAAACAGCCTGGCTTCTTCCACATCACCACCCAGTGTTTTCTTAGTCAACTTTTCCCATTCTTTAAGACCCAACTTGAATGCTGTCTCCTTGTTGGATCATTTTCCATTCTCCTTATTCTTAGTTTCCTAAAAAAAACTGTCTGCATTTTAACACTTATAGCTCTTGCTTTGTATCTTTATCTTTTTATTTCTTTATCCATGCCAGCATCACCTCCATCAAACTGAAGGCAAAGAATGCGTGAACACTCTAATACTTAATAGCACCTTCCATAATGGGGTCTCATTTAAACCCTGATTGATTGTGGCTGAATTTCAGAAAGGCTGAGGTCATCGAGGGACAGTTTTCAGGGAAGGAGAGTCTGAGGCCCCCCCTTCCCTTGGTGATACTAGGGTTGAACCCAAGGCCTCTTGCATGATAGACAAATGTCCTATCACTGAGCTACATCCCCAACCCCCCAGCCTTTTCTAATTTTTAAATTTTGAGCCAGCATCTTTTTAAGTTTCCCAGGCTGGCCTCAAACTTTCCAGCAGTAGGTTTGGTGGCAATGGAATGACTTGATTAAACGGACTTCTGCTGGGTGTGGTGATGCACGCCTGTAATCCCAGCACTTGGGAAGCTGGGGCAGGATTGCTGTAGTTTGAGGCCAGCCTAGGCTACATAGTAATTCAAGGTCAGCCTAAATTTCACAATGAGACCCTGTCTTAAAAAGAGAAACCAAAATAGTCGACAGGACTTCTCCGAATGAACAAAATGCAGGACAGACCGAGAGGAGAGACACTGGGGCAAGCAGAGGATGATGCAGTAATTCAGGCAAACCATAGGGTGACAAGGACTTTCACTAAGATGGTGCTGACCTCAAGCACTCATTTGTTGGATTCGTACAATTCACACCATTCGGTCATTAAAGCAAAGGATGGAAGAAATCTTAACACTGTCCCAGCTGTAAATCTAATGGAAAAAGGTCAAAGGCCAGGCTCAGCTCTAGTTTAGAGATATCACTCCCTCGAGCTCCCCATCTCTATTCACCCCCTTCTATTTTCAAATATAACTAAACTAAGCCTATTAGACTCTGCTTAGGTCACTTAAATTGCTCCAGTATGCCATTAATATTTGTGAATGAAACCAATTCCATTGTGGTTATAGCCAGCTGGGTGGTTCTAGGCAAGTGGTCTGATCGAAGTCAGGATGATCTCTTTTTGAAGAATTGTGGCAGAAGAACCTGCTTTGCTAGGATATTTGGCAAACGACTTTAATGAATGTCTGTTGAGCACTTTGCAATCCTTGGAGATCAGTTCCATACAAACAGCAGACTTTGCACGCCTCTTTTGGGATATGCTCCCCTTAGAGTCTAGGTTCAACCTCTTGAAGGGGAACGTTTAAGAAAGGTCATGCGACTAGAGGCAACAGCCATCACCTTCAAGGGCCCGAGACTTTACTCAAAGAGGCCTCCGGGGAGTCTAGCCCTCAGGAAAGTTCACTTATGAACCCTTCCGCTGAGCGCTGCCTGCTAACAAGGTTAACCCTTATTCATACAACCGCAGCAACGCACCTTTGTATCTACAGCTTCACACTGTGCTCCCCCGCTTTAAGAGTGGGTTATCTTGTTCAGACGTCCAAGCGTGTGTGAGGGTTCTCAACATCGATTAAACAAACCATGTAGAGCTCTGTCTATTATTGCTCTTTGCAAAATTACTTTCACTTCAAGCATTCTCCCTAAGCAAAGCAGTCAGTTCTCGAATACATGCCCACAATTCTATAGAGGTCAGGTGGCGGGGCCGGGTGGGGGTGGGGGCTGTCGGTAGCACCACTCCCGAAGCTTCAACCCAAACCTGAAGCTTTTCTTCTCAGGGAACGGGGCGCAGGGGTTCCGGAGTAACAGCCCCACCACTATCTCCCAGCGCGATGCCTGTCAGCCCCAAAAACTTGGCTGTCGTTTTCCCCGGAACCAGAGCTGCTGGGGCCGCGCGAGGAATGGGGACGATGCGCTGCAGGGAAGGGGCCCAGCTTGCGAAGGGGCGTGATCGCCGGCTGCTCGTGGCAAGGGCGAGCCCCGGCGCCAGCTGTCAGGCAGCATTGCCGCGAAGCCCAGGAAAGGGACATGGAGGTGAGGAGAGGCGCCGCCCGGCAGCTCGAGAACAGGCAGAAGCAGCCACGGATACTCACTCAGCCAGGATTCCAGGCTCTCTCCTTCCGTCTCCGCCATACTGCAGCCGCCCCGGCCAACCCCGCGGCCTCAAACCTCGCGAGAGTCTGCACTGGCCGAGCTGGGGCGGGGCCTCCATGGGGGCCTGAGAGGAGCGAGTGCTGCCACCGAGGATCGCCCCTGAACGGGAGGATATTGGGAGGGCGAGTGTTTCTTTTTAGATATTACTTTTGGACCTCGCGGTGAAAGACTCTAACGCCCAGATCAATGGCTGAAATGCAAGCTGTGGAGTCTTGAATCAGTTTCCTCGGCCAGGCGTGCCGAGGGCAGTCCTTATAGGGTCCTCGTAGCCGTCCAAGATGGCTGCCCCCGTGCTGAAGGCACTGCGGTCCGGGCTCGGCCTGGTCCCGGGAGTCACTTGCGCTGTCTGGCGTGTTCCAGGGTGAGAGGACGGCAAGCAGCGAGGACCTGCGGGGAAGGAAGCCTGCGGGGTGGGAGATACAGGCAGGCCGCGCTGGGCCCTGGAGGGAGCACTGCTAAGGGGGGCCGAGATATATCAATTCAAAACTCTTAAACTAGCTGCGTGACCTGGGGCCAGTCTGAAGGCTTCGTGACTACCTAAGGCTGATATAGCGTTCTGAATCGGAGCTGAAATTGCAGCCCTGCTAAAGAGCTCAGAGTGGAACCGTCTGGGAGTTGGGAGGTAGGGAGGAGAGATGCTTTGGTGGGGAGCCTGCCTTTACGTTAGCACTTAACAAGGAGTAGGGATCCCTGGCCCACTTAAGGGAGGTCCTCCTCCTACCTCTTGGGACAGAAGCCAAAATTTTTGCGGTTCAGGTTTAGCTTGCAGTCTCCTCGTTGCGCTCTCCCTTTCCGGCGGTTTGGCAGACATGCCTATTGTGAAGTCAGGCTTATTCATTTGTGGAGTCAGCTTTTGCACGCCTCCTCTTCCTCCCTCCCAGGCCAGCCCAGGTGAGATGGAGCCGCTACGGTCCTGAGTTCAGGGATCCTCTAGTTGATAAAGAACATTACCGCAAGCCCGAGACCGAGCTCACCGAGGAGGAAAAATATGACCAGGAGCTCAAGAAGACTCAGCTCATCAAAGCAGCCCCAGCGACGACAACATGCTCTGTGTTTGCAGACCCAGTGATCAGGTTAGATGGAAACACACACTTGTTCCATGGACTGGGACTTATCTACCGTAAGGACTCCGTGATAGAGCCTTAGAAATCTAAACATGTTGTTTTTCTCCTTGAAGTAAATTCACCAACATGATGATGAAAGGAGGAAATAAAATACTGGCCAGATCCCTTGTGACCCAGGTAAACAGTTCCTGCATTTGTTACCTTTCTTTTCCCTGTAGTTTTGTGTACTGTGCTTGGTTCTTTAAGTTTCGCTTAAAAATTAGAGAGTAGGGGCTAGGGATGTAGCTCATTGTGGTCCATATCTGTAATTTCTGCACAGTGAGGGGCTGAGGCAGGAGGATTTCGGGTTCAAGTCCCAGCCTGAGCAACTAAGTGATATCTTGTCTCAAAAGTAAAAGGGATAGGGATGTAGCTCAGTGGGAAGGCCCTGGGTTCAATCGCCCGTACCGCCAATAATAATAATAATAATAATAATAAATATAATAATAAAATAATTCATAGACCTGTCATTAAAATTAACTTCCTAGGGCCGGGGATTTAGCTCAGTGGTTCCAGCACCTGCCTTGCAATCACAAGGTCCCAAGTTCGATCCCCAGTACCAAAAAAAAAAATTAACTTCTCTGTATTGTGGTTGTACGGGTTTAGTGAAGTCCTACAGGAGTCAATGAGTGACATTTACCCTGTATCACAGAGAAAAAGCCTGCTCTTTCTGTCCTAGACTACCAAAGGGGGAGGCACTTGACTTTGTCTTGAATGTGTTGAGGGAGGAGCTGCACTGCTGTAGAACTGGATGATGGAAGTAAAAGAGTAAGATATTGAGCTGAGTAAATTCTTTAGAGAGCCTGAAGCAGTCTCTTACACTGTCTCTTCTTTGCAGACTCTAGAAGCTGTGAAAAGGAAGCAGTTTGAGAAGTACCATGCTGCTTCTGCAGAGGAACAGGCAACCATCGAACGCAACCCCTACATCATCTTCCACCAAGCACTGAAAAACTGTGAGCCTGTCATTGGCCTTGTACCCATCCTCAAGGGTGGCCATTTCTACCAGGTGAATGGTCTGGCAAGAAAGCAGGGGTGGGAGACCTCAGAGTTGGGCCAAGATTGACAGCTCTCTGGAGACTGAAGACTGTCAACTGTCAGGATCTACTCATTTGAGACCTGTAGTGTAAAATTCCCATCTTCTGGCTGGGTGTGGTGTCACACCTGTAATCGCAGGACTCAGGGTAGCTGAGGCAGGAGGTTTGCTGTGAGGTCAGCCTAGACTACATAGTGAGTTCAAGGTCAGTCTTCACATAGCCAGACCCTGTCCCAAACAAAACAAACAAAACAAAATCCCATCTTCTGTGAACTCCCTGACCTTCCCTTTTGTTTATTATGTGTATTCTTTTTTTTTTTGGCACCGGGGATCAAACTCAGGACCTTGCCTTTGCAAGGCAGGCGGCGGAACCACTGAGCTAATAAATCCCCGGCCCATCATGTGTATTCTATAATTTTTTTTTTTTGGTACCGGGGATCGAACTTGGGTCCCTGCGCTTGTGCAGCAGGCGGTGAAACCACTGAGCTAAATCCCCGGCCCCCACCATGTATTCTAAACTGTAAACTTCTCATAGGAAGAGAAGGAATATCCCAGCTCTCTGTGCCAGTGTTAGCATAGCACTCAATGCATCCATAACTGCTTCACCACTGTTGAACTTAACTAGGCATCTGTGTCATATTTTTCACTGTCCTAAGTAAATTTCCTTGACTTCTCCCTTTACAGTTTAAACTGCATAGGGGTAGGAATTTTTTTGCTGCCTGCATCTTTATTGTCCAGTGTGGAACCTGGCATAGTGAGGGCCAGGCAAATGACTCTTGCACTGTTTTAGGTATCCGTTATCTGATGTGGCTAAGTCAACCTGGCTTATAAGGTTTTTAGCAATTGCTGCCTGTATCAACTTGGCAAAGCTTCCATGTAGGAGAGAAAGCGGCCAATGCTTAATGAGATTTGCTGAGTGAATGTCCCTTATGTCTGCTACTCTGAGGTCATCCAGAAATGGGGGAAGCTCAAAGCAAAAAAGATAGGCCTCCTTTCTTAGGAGCCTTACCAGGTTGGTCCAGAGGGAATGGATGGTACTTCATCAGGGCTTGGAGAGGCAGGAGGCCCCAGCCCTGGTAGGCCCTTGGAGCAACTGGCCTGTGTCCTGTCTCCTCACCCAGGTCCCTGTGCCCCTACCTGACCGACGTCGCCGATTCCTGGCCATGAAGTGGATGATCACTGAGTGCCGAGATAATAAACACCGGCGGACATTGATGCCAGAGAAGTTGTCACATGAGCTGCTGCAGGCTTTTCACAATCAGGGCCCCGTGATCAAGAGGAAGCAGGACATGCACAAGATGGCTGAGGCCAACCGTGCCCTGGCCCATTACCGCTGGTGGTAGAGAGAAAGGAGAGGGTCTGGGAGGAGCCCGAGGCCCTCTACCCGACTGAAAAGTCCCTGTGTGTAAAGGATGTAGTTTGAAGCTGGGCATGGTGGTACAAGCCTATAATCCCAGTACTTGGGAGGCTGAGGCAGGATTTTTCGGTGTTAGAGGCCTGCCTGGACTACAAAGTAAGTTCAAGGACAGCCTGAACTACATAGGGAGACCTTGTCTCAAAACAAAACAAGAAAAACACTGACACAAAGGCTGTAGTTCTTTTTTGAGGAGGGAGCGGCCTGTTTATTGTCCATTGACCCTTTGTCAGTGGGGCTGGAACTGCCTCTCTGTGCCCCGTCTTATAAAGATGAAACATTGGGCCGGGGATTTAGCTCAGTGGTTCTGGTGTCTGCCTCCCAAGTGCAAGGTCCTGAGTTCAATCCCCGGTTCCAAAAAAAAAAAGAAGAAACATTGACTTGGAAATTTCCTCTAAGAAACTCAGGGCCTAGTCTCCCCTTTCCTCAGCTCAGGACAGACCTTTGGATGCGAAAGGGAAGAAGCTGTAGCATCAGAAGATACTTGCCCTTTATTAGAAAATCCTCTCCCTGATAACAGAAGTATTGTTGATTAAAACTCATTGAAGGAAATAGGCTTATTTCCACAGTGGTCCTTTAAAAAATGTAGAAAAGGCAGTTACTGGGATAACTTGTGTTTTCCCTCTGTACCTTGACACCCTGAAGCATCTCGAGGCAACCATGGCTGTGGTTACCCATTTTATACATGGGAAATTGAGGCAACGAGGTCCTGTTGCAGCAGTGGTACAGTGCAGTGGTCAATAGGCATTGCCCTCCTCTCCGTGGTCTTGGTGGGAAGTGATAGAAGGCTGATAGGACCTCGGGGGGAAAGGGGACAGACTTGAGGCTGAGAGCAAGTCTTTGGTATTTCCCCACCTTCTAGGTGGGGAAAGGGAACAGGGCAGGATCACAGTGCAACTGGGAAGGCAGGGCAAAGCCTTTGGGAGAGGCAGAGACTTCCCTGCCAGCTTGGAAGGAGGGCTGAGGAGAGGCCAGTGCTGCAGGGAGCAAATCCCAAGCCGGAACTAGTCAGAAACCTCACTATAGTAATACTTGTGGGCAGCAGGGGTGGTCTTCCAGCCAGCGGCCCGGAACTCAATAATCTCTAGTAGCAGCAGCTGGGCCAGGTTGCTGAGGCCTGTCAGGAGCAGGAAGCCATCCCGGATCAGGACAAACAGCTCATCCATGCGCTGTCCGTTCATCTTCTCCAGCTGCTCCCCAACCCGGTGCAGCTGCAGCACCAAGCAGTCTACCTGCAGAGGCAACAGGGAAACTGGGTCAGCCCCGGGCAGGGCCAGCCTGTTGCCTATCATGTGAGAGTGATGAGTGCTTGCTCTTTACGCCATTTCATCCTCACCATCTGGTGACTGTTAACCACATCTTACGTAAAAGGAAACAAGCTCAGGGACTCGCCTAGAACATCTGGCCAGGCCTATCTCAGACTGCTTCTGAACCCCCCTTTTCCACCTCCCCATCACTGCCTGACATGGGTTTGGTTTCTGGGCCATTTGTGCCCAAAGCTGGCTGTGACTACCACCATTCCTATCATCCCTTGGCTTTCCTATTAGGAAGGAAGCTGCTGCGCCAGTCGGCTCTGCCTGCTGTCTGTTCTGGATGAACTCTCAACCCAGCAGCTTGTCTTGTAACTGTGACGGGCCCTAAATGGCCCACAGGGCTCTTGCCTGGAAGTGATTCCCTCCAAGGCCTCCACTCAGCTGAACCAGACTGCTGACCTCCACAGCCTTCTGCTCCCAGGCCACCTACCTCCTCCTCCTCGTTCAGACTGTCTGGCTGGGCCAGCCGGAAGAGGCAGTCATAGACCGGGTTCACCAGGGCCATCATGGGCATATTGTTCACCTGTTGGGGCGGGGGAGAGGCCAGAGTGGCAATGTTAGTGGCCATGAGAAGCAGTTCAGCATGGGGCTCAGGAGACAGCCATCTCTGCCTCACAGGGTGGCTGCCCAGGCCTCACCCTCAGGTAGTCAAAGATGTTGCAGATAAAGGTGACGTAGCAGACCCAGCCCTGCATGGACCGTGCCCTCAGCTGTTCCCGGGTCTGGTACTCTTGCTGCAGCCGGTTCAGGAGTCCACGCCGGAAGACATTCTGGCCTGCTTGCTTACTCTCTGCCTGTGAGCCAGGGAGAGGGCGGTGAGGGGCAGGGGTGGTGCCAAGGCCGTCCCACCTGTCCTACTCTTCTCCCTGCCCTTTGCATCTCTGTCCTGCTGGCTGGCCTCTGCTGACTCAGGAGGCGCCTTCCACAGAGCAGCTCCCTGTCTTCTGCCAACCCCCCAACCTGGATGATGGCGTAGCACATGCGTCCTGCTTCCTTGCTGAACACACGGTCCTGCAGAGAATGGTCCACAATCACATTGGCCACTTTCTCCAAATCCACAGCGCCTGGATCTAGGGTAGAGACAGGAGGGGAGTCTAGAGCTGCCTGTTGATCACATTGACCTTTACCTGCTTCCAAGAGGGATTTGAGATGTTCGCAGTAGTGCACTCCAGCTATACACTTAATTTAAGAAATGAAGGAGCTGGGGATGTAACTCAGGGAGTCCTTGCCTAGAATGCATAAGGCCTTGAGTTTAATGCCCAGCAGTGCAAAAAAAAAAGAAGAGCCAGGGATGTAGCTCAGTGGCACAGTGCCTTCCTGGCAATCTCAAGGCCCGAAGTTCGATTCCCGTTACCAAAAAAAAAAAACCTAGAGAGGAAGAGCTGGGCATGGTGATGCAGGCCTGTGATCCCAGCACTTTGGGAGGCTGAGGCAGGAGGATTGCAAGTTTGAGCCCAACCTGGGCAACTTAGGGAAACCATGTCTCAAAAACAAAGGGCTAGGGATTTAGCCCAGTGGTTTCGCCGCCTGCTGCGCAGGTGCAAGGACCGGAGTTTGATTCCCCCGGTACCCAAAAAAAGATAAAAACAAAGGGCTGGAGATTTAGCTCAGTGGCACTGTGCCTGCCTCGAAAGTGCAAGGTCCTAAGTTCGATCCCCAGTACCAAAAAAACCCAAAAAAACCTGGGGAAGTAATTCAATCTGAAGGCCCTAGGTTCAAACGCCAGTAGTGAAAAAACAACACTAGAGAGAAGACCCAGGAAGTACTGGTATGTGTGAGGAGCTCTAGCAGTCACTGCCCTGGTTACTCACAGAGAAAACAGGGAAGGTTATGTGGCTGGTAGCAACCAATCAAAGTACGGGTCTATTTTATTAGGTCGCACATTTTTTCCTGGGACTGGGTTGAGGAAGGAACACTGATCATTGAGGCTTCCACAGAAGTTTCAGAATAGTGTTCCTGTCACACACACACTGTGCACAGGCCCCTGAAAGCCGGCCCTGCAGGGCCTCCGCCACGCTTGGCCTGGCACCTGACAGGCTTGCTCACTGTTGGCCAGATCAAACTTCTATCCTGAGTGTAGTGGGAAGGCATTGGTCCAGGGCAATTCCATATCTCCTCTGCCAAGCTGGATTCTCCCTTCTTTCCCGAGTCACGGAACTTTACACATTTAAGAGAGCTGGCTGCAGCAACACAGAAACCAGCAAGTCTAATGTCAAGGCTTAACGCATAGGAACTATGTACTCGTTTGTGAGTACTTTTTTTTTTTTTTTTTTTGTACTGGGGATCGAACTCAGAACCTTGAGCTTTCGAGGCAGGCACTGGAACCACTGAGCTAAATCCCCGGCCCTAGTGAGTAATTTTTTAAAGTACACAATTTATTTCAGAACAGCTTTATAATTACAGAATCACTGTGAAGACAGTAGAGAGGGTTCCTGTATATTCCACACCTAGTTCTGCTTATTAACATTTTACATCAGTATGTCACATTTGTCACAATGAACCAATCATCATCATCATAAATGTTAAATAAACATAATTAACGAAAAGTACTTGGTTCAGAGTTCCATAGTTTTACTTCATGTCATTTTTCTATCCCAGTATCCCATCCAGACCGAATTATATTTTGTAGTCATAGCTCCTCAGGTGCCATTTGGTTGTGACAGTTTCTCAGGCTTGCCTTGGTTTTTTTGTGGGGGGGGGTTCCCATACTGGGGATTGAACTCAGGACCTTGTGCTTGCCAGTCAGGCACAGCGCCACTGAGCTAAATCCCCAGCCCTTGCCTTTTTTGATAACTTTGACAGTTGAGAGCAATAGGCTGTCTCTCAACTGAAATTTGTTTGATATTTTACTTGTGGTTAGAGTGGAGTGATGTGTCTTAGAGGGGAAAACCACAGAGGTAAAAGTGTCATTCTTATCGTATGCATGCATCAATGTGGTTGTTAACCTGGATCACCTGACTCAAGGTCGTGCTTGTTGAGTTTCACAGTTTCTCTGGGCGGCTCCCTGTCCACACTACACTCTGGGAGAAGGATGCTCTGTAGGGTAGCTCACATGCACCCCCTCTCCTGGCAGCATTTGAGGCTTGGTGCTTGGCTATCAAAGGGTAGAAAGTGCCATCTGCTGGTGAAACATAGTGGCCCTCATCCATAGATCCAGAAAGCTGAACTGACAGAGTGAAGTCTCCACGATGCCCAGATGGATCCAGGCATCTTTTTTTGTTGTTGTTTGGATCCAAGCATCTTTAAGTATGGTTTCTTATGGTCTGGATAGAACTAGTGAGTAGGAAGGAACTTTAAATGTAGGTGGAAATTGGGCTTGATAGTGCATGCCTGTAACTCCAGAACTCAGGAGGCTGAGGCAGGAGGATCATTGTGAGTTTGAGGCCAGCCAGGGCTGCATAATGAGTTGAAGGCCAGCCCATATTACATAGTGAGACCCTGTCTAACTCCCCGCTCAGAAAAAAAGAATAGGTGGAGACTTACGTTTCTTCATAAATTCTTGACGTGTATCTGAAGTGGAGAGAGATTTGATTTTAAATACAGAAATCAAACCAGAAATGTTTTTCCCACCAAAATGTCATTTTACAATCATTTTGCTAGGACATATCCACCTGTTATTAAATATTAACTATATGTTCATCTTTTTACTAGTCCTGTTAGGTGACCTTGGAGAGAGGATCAGAGAGTGAGGTAAAGGTTATAAGATAAAGGGTCCCTTGCCCTGCAGAACTTACTGTCAGATAGAGACCTAGTAAATGTGCAACAAAATTATTGTTTAGATTTTCTTTCTCTCTTTTTATTTTTAAAACAGCTTTATTGAGATATAATTCAGGCTTCTAGGATATCAGAGTTATACAACCATCAGCAAATCAATTTTAGAGTTTGTTCATCACAAAGAAACTGAATCCCTTAGCTGTCATATCCAAACCCTCTGTCTTCACATTTACCTGGTACATTTACCTACTTCTTGTCTCTAGATTTCTGGGCATTTTCTGTCAGTGAAAGATACACTACTATGTGACCTTTTGTGGCTGGATTCATTCACTTAGACCAATGTTTTCCAAGTTCGTTCATGTTGTAGCATTTATTAGTACTTTATTTCTTTTTTTTTTTTTTTTTGGTACTGGGGATGGAACTTGGGACCTTGCGCTGGTGAGGCAGGTGGAGGAACCACTGAGCTAAATCCTCAGCCTGGTACTTTTATTTCTTTTTATTGTCAAATAATATTCCATTCTATAGATATACCACATTTTGGCTATCCGTTCATCCTAGATGGACATTTCAGTTGTTTTTTTTCCTTTTTGGAAGCAGCAATAATAAGTAGTACTAATGTGATGATTCATATACAGCATTTTCTGTGGCCATGAGTTTTCATTTTTCTTGAGTGTGTGCCTAGGAGTATAATTGCTGAATCATACATAAATGGTCTAGCCTTTTGAGGAGCTGTCAGACTGTTTTCTAAAGTGGCTGTATAGGGCAGAAATCAATGCAATGGAGACTAAGAAAACAATACAAACAATCAATGAAGCCAAGAGTTGGTTCTTTGAAAGAATAAACAAAATTGACAAACCCTTAGCCAATCTTATCAGAAAAAGGAAAGAAAAGGCCCAAATCCGTGCAATTAGGAATGAAAAGGGTGAAATTACAACAGACCCAGCAGAAATCCAGATGATCATCAGTTCCTA